CAATCGAACCCTCCCCAGATTTGGGGAAACAAAGCCTACACAGGTGATGGAGTACACACCTCTGCTTTGCTTTATTCCATATGTGTTACTGGGGATGTGTAAACATACAAAAGTACATGTATGTAGTATATACTCTGATATTCTGTTAACATCTAATGTTTCTGTGTGGTACCACATGTGTAACTAAATCACTATATAATTAGTTTTTAAACGTTTATCTCTCCTGACTGGAACTTTATGATAACAAAGGCCATGCTTAGCTCTCTATCCCTACATATTAGCACATAACTTAGACTTAGGTATTCAAAAAATATTTATTATCTGGTTGAATGGCTAAACAGACAGGTGGATGATCAATGATGCTAAATGTTGCAAAAAAGGTTAAGGAGAATGAGGACTGAAACCAGAGCATGAGTTTGGTGGCTACACGGTCAGTAGAGATCTTAGTGAGAGAACTGAGGATAATAGATTTCTGATTTCCCCTCAGGAGGAGAGGACTGAACACAAACTCTCAGAAGCTGGATTGTGCAAGGACAGGGACAAATCTAGTGTACTTTCTTTGTTCCAACTTTATAACCTTTTTCTTTGTATTTGGAAACAGTAAAAGGTCATTCAGAATACATTCAAGGGATCCAAGCAGATGGTCAAGCCCAATGATATCTCTAGCTGAAAGAGTATCTGATTTCAAAACAATATGACAATCTCTTAATACCCCTTATAGACCACTTCCAAAGGCCTTTCCCAAACAGGGATAACAAAACAAAGCAAACCCATTTTGATAATGGCAGCAACAATGAAATTAGCTATATCTTCCCAAGGTGACTACCTTGAATAAATGCTATAAAGGCTCTGACATTTTCTTAAAATGGGAAGAAGTAGCATGGCTTAGAATAGTGCTTTTCTGAAATGCGTTACACATTTTAGGGTGATGTGGGGTGGCATGTGAACAAATTTTTATATGTGCACTATGTATTGATTTTTATGCATATCAAGAAAAATCTAGCTCATCATACTCATCATATATATTGCAAAGTGGTCTTGATTGATAAGTTTAAATCATAAATTTTAAGTTTTAAAATACTAGTTGTTTTAAGAAACATATTGAGCAAATATATATAAATAATTCAATTGTCAGACACCCTAGTATGAGTTTTCAGAACTTATAGACCTGAGTTCAAACCCAGACTCTACCATTTGCTACTTATTAAAAACTCTGTCAGAGTTGCTTAACCTTTACAAGTCTCAGATTACTCATCTGTGAAGTGAAAATTAACAATACCTACTTCTCCGGGTTTGTCCAGGGATGAAACAAAAGCAAGCATTAAGGCCCCAAGGAGCACCCTGGGCACATAAGTTAGTGCTCACTCAGCAGTAGCAGAAACACAGCTGATGACCCAGACATTATTCACATATTCAGACACAACCCAGCCATGCGGCCACTTGTATAAATGTGCCCATTTATTCCAGTTGACCTTTCTTCTCCATCTGCAATCCATGGAGCTGCAAACGAGCACTCTCTAGGCTGGAGAGGAGGAGGTCACCAACCAAACAAAAGGCACAGAGGCCAGCGGGAGGGAGTCTGGAAGCATTTGCAACACTTCCCCAAGGACCCAGGACAAGGTGGGGGCACAGAAAGGGTCCTGCCAAATAAGAAATCTGTGTTCCAATGGAGGTGTTACCCTCCTAAGAGCACGCAGTGGGTAATGTCAATGTTATAATTATTAACTCAGACTCTAAACATGAAAAGCTAAATGACCTGTGCACATTGCAAGCCAGACAGTCTTATCAAGAATGAATCAGGCTCTTTGATCTGGAGGTAAACCAACTCGCTACCATGAAGCTTCCATCTGGGGTTTTTCCAGACAGGAAAGTGGTTGCCTAATTCCCAGCTGTCTGGAGTTTCCAGTCCAAACTGGTCTTAGAGAAAAAAGTCCCACCATCTCACTGGAGTTCCCACTTCATTAAAAAAATATTACAGATCTATGCCACTAATCCAAAGGAATGGGAGTCAAAAAAAATATTTTTAAGTAGTTAAAAACAATCCATGTACAGTGACAATAAATTATTACACCTAGTTTGGAACTAAACCTTCAAATATGGAAAGAGAAAAACATGAAGTAAACCCAGAGAAGGAAGGGAGATTGTCTGGGAAACCAAAAGTGAACATTAAAGAACATAAATAACAACATGGAGGAGGTGGATGGGGGCTGAAGACCTGGTGACTAACAGGGAGAGGAAGGAAGAGGAGGGCAACTGAGCAAGAGCCATGGTGATCAAGATCTCTCACTGCATTTCCAGAAGCCTCTCCGACCTACCCACCCAGAGATTATCTGCACTGCATCATGAATTAATCAGCATGGAGATCATTCCCTGCATCTGTGGAAATTGAATTTAGCTGCCAATCCTGATTGAGAGCACGGAGGCCTCCTCACAGAAAGATCCCAGCTCACAGAGCAAAACGCCTTTTCTTTCCTTGAATCAAAGCTTGCGTCAGCCTAGGGAAAGGGCTGCAGCTGGAGCCACAGACTTTGTGAAAGGTGTCAGGCTAAGGGCGGTAATTATAATTAGCAGTTACATAACGTGTTTGTTCTTCAAAGTGCTCTACAAGGATCAGATAATTAATAGTTTACTGTGCCCCATGCAGATCCACTGGTTTTTCGTGTAGTGACTAATTCTGGTGCCCCTACTAAATTCTGAATGGTGGAGACAAAGTAGTTTGGGCAGTGAAGCAAGCAGCTGAGAGTCTAGAAATCAAACCCAGCTCTCTTACCACATGGCTCCATATGGTAGTTTCCTGTCAGGAACACTTCCAGGGGGCAGCAAACCTCACTTCCTCCAAATAACTCTTGGAGGTGCTATGGCAGATGCAATGATAGGTTGGCGTGACCATCAGTCCAGTCCAGTATGACATCAGCTCTCCTCTGTCTCTCCAGTTAGTAAGCCTGGGACCCTGGAGTCCTTGCAGGTTCGCCCTTGCTTCTCTGTGCAAATTGAAGAGACCTCTCTAAAAGAGGCTGAACTAGATCTCTGGATTTTCATCATTTGCTTCCTGTGATGGAAGCCTCTGGCCTACACCCTTTTGCATTTATGACAGAGATAACTGAATGTAGTTATTTTATGGCATAGACAGGGCTCCCACAGCAAAGCTGAGTTTCTCATTTTCTCCAAGAATGCTTCACCCAGGGCTTCAAGGTCCATGAATGCCTTGAATTTATCTGCAAAACTATTCACATTTATTTTGGGAAAGATCTTTTTTCTCCTGTTGCACCGTAAATTCCAATAGGGTAGTGCCTCAAAAAGTACCTCACACATACAGCACGCTAAACAGATATCTACTGAATGAATAGATTTTATCAAATTCCTATCCCAAAATGATTATAAACATTGCCCTGTGGAAAAACAATCACCATAAATCTAGTTGGTCTGCTTGCTTTCGTTAAGTTTTGCTATAGAAAACTGGTTGGCAAGACCCAAGATCTTCTGCCACAATCCTGCTGCTAATCAATCCAGAGACTAGAGTAAACCTACACTGTGACTTTATTCTTCAAAGATCTGTCTTCCGGGCCAAGCAAGTCATTGTACAGAAATATATTCCCAGAGCCACTGGAGACTATGACAACTATTTGTCACATCCTGTGACCACCTACCACAAACAGTAAGAATTGCTCACTGCCCTTTTCCATTTTGCCTCTCGGAAGCAAAGAAGTGAAAGCACGTGGAAAGTCACACTTGTTCAGATTCATGAGATCTATACATCAGTGCAATAATTCAGGAAAAAACTAACATGCACATAGTGCTCTATACTTTGCAAAATGCTGCCACAGATGATCTCATCTGATTTCTTCTCAACGCTTTTGGAAACAAAAGCCAGACTGTATTTCCCTCTCTTCGAGATAAGGAAATGGGAGGTTCGCAATGCCTTGCCCAGTGACACTGAGCTACTACATGGCGCTACTAGAAATTGAACTGAAGCCTCAAAACCCCTTCTTACCAGCAATTCCACTTCTGGGTATATTTTTAAAAGACCTGAAAACAGGATCTCAGAGATGTATCTGCACATTCATGTCATAGCAACATTGATTACAGTGGCCAAAAATGGAAGCAATTAAGTGTCCATTGATAGACGAATGAATAAATAAAATGTGACACAGACATACAATGGAACATTATCCAGCCTTAAAAAGGAAAAAAATTCTGACTTATGCTTTAACATGGACGTGCCTTGAAGATATGCTAAATGAAACAAGCCGATCTCAAGAAGACAAATAAGCACATGACTGTACTTATATGAGACACCTAAAGCAGTCAAATTCATGAGACAGAAAGAACAACAGAGTGCTAGGAGCTACAGGGAGGGGACAGTAGCAAGTTATTGTTTAATGAGTATAGAATTTTAGTTTGTTTGTTTTCTTGGTACTGGGGATCAAACTCAGGACCTTGCACTTGTAAGGCAGGTGGCAGCATCACTGAGCTAAATCCACCACCCCAGAATTTTAGTTTCTGAAAGATCAAAAAAAGTTCTGCAAATTGGTTACACAATAATTGAATATACATAACAATAATCACACACAAAATATTTAAGATGATAATTTTTTTGTGTTTTGGGTGTTTTACCACGATTTTTTTAAAACATGAAAAAGACCTCTCTTTTATAGTACATCAACTTTTCTCTGAAAAACTGCTGTACTAAGTTAGGAGTGTGCCCTTCTGGGAAAACAGTTCATGGAGAAAAAATTCTCAGCCAGTTAAGCAGAGGAAACAAGAACTACTGTGCTTTATCTAAAAGATGGATGCCAAAATGTTCTATCCAACTTATTTTCCCAACCCGCTTTCCAAATCTTCAGGGTTGAGCTGACATTTCTAAAGCCAAGTGCCCACCCAGGTAAAAGGCAGAGCCAGGTGCAGGGCACAGAGGGAGGCAGCCAGCAAATGGTTTGACACCCATGCTTCCAAAGGCTTTGTCACCAGGGAACAGGAGCCCAGCAGGGTGGGATCGGTACCTGTGCATGTTAAAGTGCTTTCTCTCCAGGTGCCTTTCTCTGTGCAAACAGAAGTGATCTTTCCTCCAGGGCTCTCAAAGCCCTCCTGGCAGATGTAGTAAGCCACACCACCGAGGCTGGAGCTGTGATTCCCCACCAAGATGGCGTTCAGCACTTCAGGAGGGCTGCCACAGTTGATCTCTGCAGTGAGAAGCAATCTATTAGTCCCCACTTCCAAACCTACAGTTAATAATCTAGAAATACACATTTAATAATGACAGAAGCCACATGGGAAAAGATAAAACACTAACTCCAAATAATCCAAATGTAGGCATACAAAATATATGTCTGAAATTAATGAAATTTCCAAATGTGCACACATAATGAATAGTCAAATTATGAGGTTAATTACTTATGAAATGTGAAATAAGTCACACATGTGTAAATACCAAATAGTTTCTCTGGTGTGAAAAACTATAAAGGTACATGAGATCCTAATGAGATAACTGACAATGTGAAATAGGAAGAAAAGGGCTAAAGGTGTAAGGAAAGTGGGAAGGGTAGGGGACAGGTAATAAGGGAAAGAAAAAAAATAGGAGAAAATGAAAAGATGGAAATAAAATGTTTGTAAATGGGGAGGGGAGGAGGGGATGAAGGGAGGGCAGGGACAAGGGGAAAAAATGAGAACCAAGACCTGTCATGTAAAGGTACAGGATCCCAATAATGAATGTAACTGTACTGTATACCTAAAATGTACCAA